TTTTTTTTTTTAGAGAAGAAGGTAAAACGTCCTTTTTTTATTTATTATTTGTGGATGAAAGTGCTGAATAAAAATATTTTAATTAAAAAAAACGAAGGAATACGAATATAACGTTGTAAGAGGCTATAATTACTATTTAACCTGTTAGTTGTTATGAGTGTTTGCGTGTTTGATATTTTCAAAGGTATCGGATCACTTATTTAATTCAACTCAGATATCTTTCTTTTCCCCTTCTTTCTTTGCTTAATTGTACCTACTCTGTGTGTGTAATGCTTCGTGGTACAACTGGGTTGTAAGACAGATGAAAGCGTTTAGGAACTTAATTTTTATCTAATGAGAATTGCAATGGTTTTGACTGTTCTCATTTATTAAGTGTATTGGTAATATTTAATGAATTCGTTTTTTTATTTTGTTCTATGGGGACCTTTGTATATTTTTCTTGTTTTTTTATTCTTATATTTCTATGCTCTCACTCTCTTTTTTTTTTTCCTTTTTCCCTTCTTTTTTGTATTATTTTCTCGAAAGAACCTCTTTAAAGAAGAATAACGGGTCTGCATGCGTTAATAAACGCTGCAGTATCTGTACTTTTCGGCTGTTTTCTTCGGCAGGTGATTTTTTCTTTCATCGCTACTATAAGCCTGTGTGGGAGCATATCACGATTTCTTTGTGGTAGACAGATCCCTCTGTTGCTTGCTTTCTTTTGCTTACGAGAGTGTATTGTGAGTACCCGAGCTGGACTGAATTGGCAGTGGAAATAAGTGGACAAGACTGTTCAATGCCACACAAAGACAACAAAAAAAAGTTACAGGGGCTCTTCTTTAGTGGATGAGCGGAGCAAGCAGGAGCTGCAGCATTGAAGTACGGTGAAATTGGAGTTGTGATGAGAGTATTTCAACTGGGGAGTACGGGAGAATACTGACCCCTTCCCTGAGCTCCTTTTTTTTTTTTGGGAAAATGCATTGTTATTATTATTATTATTATTATTATTATTATTATTATTATTATTATTATTATTATGGTTGTGGCTGTATTTAGGCGGTACCATTAGAATACTGTGCTTTCCATTACTGCTGTGGTGTGCCATTTTTCCCTTCCGCTAGAGTCTCCATAACGTCTTTCACAAAGCTTTAGAGTACTCAATGAGCACTCAAGTGTCATTTCTGTTATTTAATAAGGGGAGCGGGAGGGGAGAGGGAAGACGTATAAGGAAATATGTGGATTATAAAGAGCACAGATGATGTCAGGGGTGCTTTGATATTTGGTTTATTTTCTGAGAAAAGTAAAACTTTTAAAACAAAAGAATCTCTTTTTATCTGTATTTAACTTGTTTCCGGTTGCCAAACTAACGCAACCAACAAAAATGCACGCATACACACATATGCATGTCCTCTACACCCTCTTTTTAAACCTGTCTTTAGGTATTCCCTAAGAAAATAAGCGAAAAAACTAAAGAATACTCACATACTAAGAGAGTAGAACGAAAAAGAAAGAAAGAAAGTGCAAAAGTTTGCGTAAGAAATATTGTAATTCAGAAAAAGTAATATTTGACCGTTTTTAAAAAACTAATTTACCTCTTTCATTGGGAACACCATGACTCCCACTGGTAAGTCTATTCATATCAATCCACGGGTACTGGAGGCGCAGTATGCAGTGCGTGGACTTATCCCTATGCGTGCGGATGAGATCAAGAACGAGTTGACGACACCGGAGGGAAAGGGCAAGTACCCCTTCTCCAGTCTGGTGTACTGCAACATTGGAAACCCACAGGCCCTGGATCAGAAGCCACTGACGTTCTTCCGACAGGTAATGGCACTGGTAGATGCGCCGTTTCTTCTGGAGAATGAGAAGGTCGTATCACAGTTCCCAGAGGACGCTGTGGCACGCGCGAAGGAGTATTTGGGCCACATTGGGAACCGCACTGGTGCGTACACAGACTCTGCTGGCTACGCCTTTGCACGCGATATTGTGGCACGACACATCAACGAACGTGATCGGAATGTGAAGCCGTTGGAGGATGCCTCATCAATTGTGTTGACGGACGGTGCGAGCACGGGTGTACGTCTGCTGCTGCAGGTCCTTGTGGGTGGAGCCAGTGATGGTGTGATGATTCCAATCCCACAGTACCCGCTGTACACAGCCCAGATTTCGTTGCTCGGCGGCACACCGGCCATGTACTACCTGGAGGAGAGTGAGCGATGGGCGCTGAACGTTGCGGAGCTGAACAGTGTGTACGACGACTGTGTGAAGAAGCACAATGCGACCCCGCGTGTGCTTGTGGTGATCAACCCCGGCAATCCGACTGGCGGTGTACTGGAGCGCGGCGTGATGGAGGAGGTGGCGAAGTTCTGCTGTGATCGCGGTGTGGTGTTAATGGCCGACGAGGTGTACCAGGAGAACATCTACGCAGAGGAACGACGGTTTGTGAGCTTCCGCGAGGTGGTGCTTGGACTGCCGGCACCGTACAACACAGACACCATGCTGGTCTCGCTGCACTCAACGTCTAAGGGCATTATTGGCGAGTGCGGGCGTCGTGGTGGATACTTCAGCATGACAAACCTACCGTCGTTACTGCGGGAGCAGGTGATGAAGATGTGTTCGATCAACTTGTGCAGCAATGTGAACGGGCAGCTAATGACCGCACTGATGTGCTCACCGCCGCGCTCTGGTGATGCGAGCTACGAATCGTACTGGTCAGAGTACAACTCCATCTTCAGCAGCCTGAAGAAGCGTGCATTGATGCTGGCAAAGGAGCTAAATACGATCCGCGGGTTTGAGTGCCAGCCGGTGGAGGGTGCGATGTACGCATTCGCACAGATCCGCTTGCCGGAGAAGTACATGCGGCGCAACGATGAGCTGAACGCACAGGAGGGCCGTAAGCTCTCGGCAGACGCGCGCTGGGCTCTGGAGCTGCTGGAGAGCACCGGTATTGTCATTGTGCCCGGCTCTGGCTTTGGACAGCGACCCAACACAATGCACTTCCGCACAACGATCCTGCCACCGGAGCAGCAGATGGAGCGCATGGTGCAGTCACTGCGCAGCTTCCAAGAGGGTATCTGGGAGAAGTACGTGTAATAAGGATTGATGCTGTACATATGTTTGAACATGCATATGTGTCCATATACATATACATATATGTTTATATCTGTTTCTAGGGGTATGCAGGGGTGTGAGTGCTGAGGGAGAATAATGACAATTATTTGTCCCTCTCTACCTCTTGTAGAAATTGGGTGGTATTTTGGATGAAAGAGAAATAAATGTTTTCGAAGTAGGAGGTGGATTTGAGGCGAGTTCATCAAAAGGGAAAGAATATGAAACAAAAGAAAAAAAAAACGTAATTCGGCTGTTTTTTTTTTT